CTGTAGTATAGATCTCCAGAACTTGTTTATCTTGCTTAAGAAACTTTATACCATTTGACCATCACCTCCACATTTCCCTTTTCCCCCAGCTCCTGGCAACCGCAATTCTACTCTCTGCTTCTATGAGTTTGACTATTTTAGATTCCGCATATGAATGAGATCATGTGGTATTTGTCTCTTTATATTTGTCATTCACTTAGCATAATACACCAAGTCAACCATGTTGTCACATTATTTTTTAAGGCTCAATAATATTCCGTGGTATATATATACCATATTTCTTTATCCATTTATCCATAAGTGGACATTTAGGTGGTTTCCGTGTCTTGGCTATTGCAAATAACACAGCAATGAACACAGAAGCACAGTTATCTCTTCAAGATCCTGATGTCAATTCCTTTGGGTAAATACCCAGAAGTAGAATTGCTGGATCATATGGAAGTTCTAGTTTTAATATTTTTTGGAGCCTTTATACTCTCCACATGAGAATATGATTAAGCACACTTTAAATTTCTTTTTCTTCTGAGGAAGATTAGCCCTGAGCTAGCATCTGCCACGAATCCTCCTCTTTTTGCTGAGGAAGATTGGCTCCAAGCTAACATATGTGCCCATCTTCCTCTATGTTATAGGTGGGACACCTGCCACAGCTTAGTTTGATAAGCGGTGGGTAGGTCCATGCCTGGGATCTACACTGGCGAACCCGGGGCCACCGAAGCCAACATATGAACTTAACTGCTGCACCACTGGGCCGGCCCCTAAGTTTTTTAAATGAGATTTTGCAATATAGAGATTACAACATTGGCATAAGGCAGTGCACACAGTAGTGGCATGTCTTCAATGCTCTTACTGACTTTTCCTCATTCTAATCTTGTACTCCCGCATCTCCTTGAATCCATTCTCACATTATCACTTATTTACTCTGATTTTACTTATATTATAAATACAGATAAATAACCCATACAATTACAGAGGAAACTTTAAAATACTTTGAATTTTGGAATTGTTTTAATTTATGCTAGATTTTAACTACATTAACATTTTCATATGAAAGGTCACAGAAATATTAATAAAAAATGTTGCAAAATAAGATCTCATTTTTTTCAAAATTCCTTTTTTTAAGACCCAAATTCCTCAGATAATGACCATTTTTGAAAGATATGCATTAGAAACATACTGCCAATAAATGACATTTAGGAAAATAGTATTTTAGTTGTCAAAGTTTTTCACTTCTATAACTTAAACAAAATTGTTATGTTTGAAGGCAGAAATCAGAAGGTAAATCAAATAGCTATAGTCCTAAGTTAAAAATTCTAAAATGTTATAAACTCCTTATATATTTTTTAAAAGGTTAAATTTTGAAAGTGTAACTTCAAGTGATTTCTGTTTTAATTTTAAAAAATTATATGCTATTTTTTCATGTTGTCATTCAGTCTCTAAATGTGCACAAACTATGCAGGGCCAAGAAAAACATTAGAGATAAGAAAAACGAAAAAGACTTTTCTAGAAAAATATTCATCTCAGACATAATGTCTATCATCAAATATCAAATTGCCCTATATTTTCCAGTTTCTTTATGCTACTACTGTCTCTTTCTTTCCTTTACATTTGGCTCAAAGTAATCTGATATGTTCCACTTTGAAATGAGAGTCATTAACTTGTGTCTGAAAAGGTCTATAATAAAACACATCAATTTCTTAAGTCCGATACTAGCTGTCAGGTGTCATATTAAAGTGAATGTGTTCACAACAAATCAAATAATAATATAAAAATACAAATATAATTTTAAAACTATGATCCTTTTTCTGACTACCCTAATCATATTGTTTCATGAGTTTTTAAAAAATTTATAACTATATAAATTGTATTTAAATATACATGCAAACACAAAGGGAATTTTTGGTTGTCATTTTCAATGTTAAATTCATTGGGCCTCGGTTTTTTTTCTTGTGAAATGGAGACTCTAAATTTCCTAAGGCCTTTGTATTACTTGGAATATAAAAGTTGACAGTCTGTACAGGGAGGAGTCATTAAACCCTAGTGGTTAGGCAAATAGTCTTGGGAGTCAAGCAAGTATAAATTAAATCTCAATATTTTGCGGAATTTCTTCCTAACCCTTTTTTTCTGCTTGTTCTTTACTAGTCAAAATTCACTTTCTTTTTTTCCAGAACAACAACTTAGGAAAAAAATATCCAATTTCACAATTATTGAACAGATTTTTTGAGGAAGATTACCCCTGAGCTAACATCTGCTGCCAATCCTCCTCTTTTTGCTGAGGAAGACTGGCCCTGAGCTAACATCCACGCCCATCTTCCTCTACTTTATATGTGGGATGCCTGCCACAGCATGGCTTAACAAGCGGTGCCATGTCCGCACCCGGGATCCGAACCGGTGAGCCCTGGGGCCGCTGAAGCGGAATGTGTGAACTCAACCACTGTGCCACCAGCCAGCCCCAACGAACAGTTTTTTAAAATGTTAAAATAGAAAGTTAATCTTAATTTTGAGCTAACACCAAAACACTCAGTTTTCCATTCAACGTGAGTGCTTTCACTTTGTTTTTTTTTTGTCAAAATTTGCTTCCTTACTTTGTATTTAAACTTAGAAATATCCGCAAGGGCTTTTCTTTGTGAGAACTAGTGCTTTGGAAGACGTTTGTTCAACTCGCGCACAAAAATGGAATTTAAAAAAAAAACTCATGAAAATGTAACTAACACCTTAAAATGAAGTGACTTTAAAATGCTTTAGAAAAACATCGGGGGGAAAAAAGTAAGAGATCCATAAAGAAAGATAGAGCAACAGAAAGCACTTAGAAATGTAATAGGAAGGATAATAAAGCATATAGAATTATAATAGTTTAGTCTGACAGTAATTGTGTTTTTACTTATTTCATTCTTTCTACCATTCTGTCACTAGAGAATTAGTTAATGGTGTTAAGTAATGGATACGTGCATATATTAAAATCTATCTTGCAGTGCTAACACATTCTCTCTGCAATTCTGTACGCTAATTTTCCTTTTGTATTTCCCTGTCATTAAAACTTTTCATAAACATTATTTTCAATAATAGATATCACATAAATCTCATAATATACTTAACTATTCTCATTTCTTTAGACAATAGTTTAATTCCAATTGACGGATTACAGAAAATGCTATAATATATAATTTTTTGCACTGATGTTATATCATTATAATAAATTTGTTATCATTAGATTTACTGAGCCAGTTTATGAATACATTTAAGGATATTATTTTATAATGTCAAATGTCTTTAAAAAATATCGTAGGATTTTCATTTGAATTATCAGTACAAGTGAGTATGTCACTCAAAAAATACTTTCGTCAGCACCGTCTACAATCTCCTTTCAAAAGAATTAGCGAATAATCAGCATTATTATTGACTTTTGTTTACTAACATGATTAAAATATCTGCATATACTTTTGTTAGCCATTTGCCTTTGGTCCTTCAATTATCTCCATTTTCTTGCCTTTAAAAAAGTTAGCTTGCTAGTATTTTTTTTTTCAATCACAACTATCATTTACCTAAAAGTATTTTGCCATCTTGACTTTTACCTTCTATCCTTATGTATATTGTTCACTATTTGCAAAAGCTCTTTGTCCGTTGTTTATGATAACTACTGGATCAGTTTTAACCCCTCTATGCCCTCAGGAGTAGCAGCTAACAAATAAATGGCAACCTAAAATATCGTTAGGCAACTGATGTCTGTAAAGATAAATAAGGCATTAGAAAAGTAGTTTGGAAGTAATAATATATAATGTTGGAATATTTCAACAATATTCAAGAATTTAAAGGATTTAAAAATTGTAAACCAAATATAGTTATTTAAAATAAAAGGCATGGGGTTGGTCCAGTGGTACAGCCTTTAAGTTCCCACGTTCCGCTTTGGTGGCCCGGGGTTTGCTGCTTCAGATCCAGAGTGTGGACCTACACACCACTTGTCAAGCCATGCTGTGGCAGGCGTCCCACATATAAAATAGAGGAAGATGGCCACATATGCCAGCTCAGGGCCAGTCTTTCTCAGCAAAAAGAGGAGGATTGGCAGTGGATGTTAGCTCACGGCTAAGATTCCTTAAAAAAAATAAATAAATAAAGATCAAAGGCAAAAATCTAAGACTCTAAAAGATAGAGAGAAGGAAAACTGTCTAAGGACTTTGGACCCAAAAAACAATATAATATGCAAGACATTCATTTATTTATTTTCATGTTTTGCCTCATATGTCTTAGACTTAGAGTTAAAGAAGCTAGCAACCTGAAAATGCCAACAGGCCCAGACAAAACTTCCCAACAAAAGCTGTTCTCTCTAACTGAAGGACCAAGAAAGAGATAACCTAACAAGATGTAAAACTTTTAAATAATAATTGCTCTAGGGCCAGCTCTGGTGGCCTGGTGGTTAAGGTCTGTGTGCTCTGCTTTAGTGGTACGGATTTGGCTCTCTGGCGTGGACCTATACCACTCATCTGTTAGTGGCCATGCTGTGACAGTGGCTCACGTATGAAAAGAGGAAGATTGGCAGCAGATGTTAGCTCAGTGTGACTCTTCCTCAGCAAAATAATAATAGTAATAATAATAATTGCTTTAATCTAGTCAAACAGCTCAGAAAAAATCTGATTCTACTCCCATCCGCACCAGCAAAGGGTGAGTAGGGAGCCTAGGCTTCCACACTTTTGAGGCTGTAACAAAATTCACCAAACCTCTCCAAGAGTGGCGTCAGAAAAGGCCAAGTAGGGAGTGGGGAATTTCTTTCCCTCTCATGAACAATGAGCCTTATGTGTGTGATGTCAGTAGTGACCACAAGAGAAGCCTGGACTTCTACTCCTTTGGGCAGTAATGAGACACCCTTCCCGCTCACTACTTGGGCTGTGTCAGAGAAAACCTAGTAGAGAATCAAGAGTCTTATCACTACCCAATTAAAAAAAGTCGCCCCCGGCCACATGGGGAGTAGAAATCCCACTCCAGCCAAGAGTAAGGAGGAACTCTCTTACCTTGGATGACAGTGGAAGTCAAGTGGGAACCTGGACTACTATCTCCAACTGGAAGTAACATGACAGCACCCTTTCTTTTCCCCTACCAGAGTGGAGTCAGAAAAAATCAGTTAAAATAGAAGTTTAGATAAGATCAAGTCTCATAACATAATATCCACAATGTCTATATTTCAGTAGAAAATCAGTCATCATGCCAAGAATCAAGAAGATTTCAAATTAAATGATAAAAGATAATCAATACATGCCAACACTGAATGACTAAAATGTTAGATTACTCTGATAAAGATTATAAAGTAGCCATGCTAAAAATGCTTCAATGGGCAATTAAGAGCATGCTTAAAATAACTGTAAAAATAGAAAGCCTCAATAAAGAAACAGAAGACATAAAGAAGAACTAAATAAAAATTTTAGAATTGAAAAATAAAATAATTGAAATAAAAAGTTCAGTGCCTGGGATCAGCAACAGAACTGCGGAGACAGAAGAAAGGATCAGTGAACTGGAAGATGGAACAGTAAAAGTTACACAATCTAAATAACTGAGGGAAGTAGACTGAAAAGTAACAGAGACTCATGGGTCTGTGGGGCTACAACAGAATAACCAACATTTGCATGATTCAAAGCCTAGGAAAGGAAGAGGGAGGGGCTGAAAAAGCACTTGAAGAAAGAATGGCTGAAACCTCCCCAAATTTGGCTAAATAAATAAATGTACAGATTCAAGAAACGGAGAAAAATCCAAATAGGATCATCTGAAAGACATCCATGCTAAGACATATGATATTTAATCTTCTGAAAAAGAAAGAAACTAAATCTTGAAAGCTGCCAGTGTAATCACCATCATATCTATAGGAGAAAATATAATTAGAATGACAGTGGATTTCTCACCAGAAAACGTTGAGGGTGGAGAAAGTAACAACACAATATATTCCAAGACCTGGTTAAAAACATAAAAACTAAAAAATAGTCTATCAAGTTAGATTTCTCTACTCAGCAAAAATATCCTTCAGTAATAGAGGGGAAATCAAGACTTTCTCAAATAAAGGAAAACTAAGAGAATTTTTCAATTGCAGATCTATCCTAAGAAAATGACTAAATAAATTTCTCCAATAAGACAAAAAATAATGAAAAAAGGAAAATTGGAATATCAGGAAGGAATACAAAACACAATATGAAAAAACATGTGTAAACACAATTGGATTGTCTTTTCTTGATTTTTAAAAAATCATATTGAGTGAAGAAAACTATAATATTGTTTAGTGTGGTTGGAAATGTATGTACAGGAAATATTTAAGACAATTATATTACAAATGGAAGAGAGTAAAGGAACAGGGATGTAACTCACTCAAACTGGTGAAATGACAACAGCAAGGGACTGTGATGACGAAAGTGCATATAATCTAATTGCTAGAGTAACCACTAAAAATGCTAAACAAACAGATACACTCAAAAAAACTAAAAATACATGAAAATGGAATTCTAAAAAATATTCAAGTAACACATGAAAAGGTATGAAAAAAAAAACAGAGGAATAGAAAACAGAAAGAAAAAAGAGAAAACAAAAATAAAATGACAGACCTAAGCCCTAACATATCAATAATTATATTAAATGTGAATGTCCGAAATATACCACCCAAAAAATAAAGATTGGCAAAATGGATTTAAAAAAATCACCCAACTGTTTGTAGTCTGTAAGAAACACATATATAATGATATAATGATACTGGTAGTTGGAAAATAAAAGCATGGAAAAAATGCATATAGTGAAAATATTAATCAAAGAAAAATAGGAGTGACTATATTAATATCAAATAAACTCGACTTCAGAGCAGAAGAAATTACCGTCTACAAAGAGGGGCATTAAAATAGTGATAAAAGGGTCAATCACAAAGAAAACATAGCAATTCTATATGTCTATCCACCAAACAGCAGAGTTAAAAAATATGTGAAGCAACAACTGATAGAACTGGATAGAGAAATAGACAAATCTACAATTATCATTAGAGATTTTAATAGCCCTCTCAATATTAATATAATGGTAATATCAATTATTGACAGGACAATTGTATGGAAAGTCATCATGATATAAAAGAACTCAATAACGTCATTGACCAGCAAGATCTAACCAACATCTATAGACCATTCTACCCTAAAACAGCAGAACCAACATTATTTCCAAGTATCCACAGAATTTATAACAGAATATAATAAAACCACAAATTTAAAATAGTTAAAATCATACAGAGTGTGTTCTTTAATCACAGTGGAATCAATATAGAAATCAATAACAAAAAATAAGAGGAAAATCTGCAAACATATGGAAACTAAACAGCACACTTCTAAATACTCCATGAGTAAAAGACGTGAAGTCACTCCATCTTTAAGCAAAGATCAAATTTATTTTTTAACCAATCTTCCCTTTTTTAATGTCCCTTCCCTCATCTCAGGTTGTTCACCATTTCTCTTCCCTGTAGAATCTAAATCTATTCTGAGAAAACCAACTGATAAAGTTGCTTTAGAGCAGTAGTCTTCAACTCTTGCTACACGTCAGAATCATTGAGAACTTCTATCTATCTACCTACCTATCTCCCTATCATCTCTCTATTCACCAAGACAAACTTAACACTTCTCTCAGCTTGGTTGAATTTTAGAGAAGCTTCTCCTTGACTATGGATCCTGACCTCCCTTTTCTTAGGATATTTTTAGAAAACTTGTAATTATTAATTCTTTCTCTGTCCTTTTGAGATGCAAATCCTTTTAAAAGTCTCTTGATAGTTTTACAATCCAGAAATATCTTTCTCAAGGACCTGAAAGCCATCTCTTCTGAACGTAGTCATCAAGGAAGAGAGTGCCTCTATATCCCAATCTTCTAGGAAGGTAAGAGACTAACTTTGGTGGTTGCCTTGCTGCAAGTTGTAAAATTATTTCCTATATGAATACAGAATGTGTGGACCCACAATTATCCCCACTTTAGCTCTCAAAAATTCTCTTGCCTTTCGTTCCTGTGGAGTGGAGTTCAATCCCTTCTCCTTGTGTGATAGCTTTGGATTAAGTCTTCCTTAGCTGCTTAATTTTCATACAGTTTTTGCTTTGACACTATTTATCTTCCCATCCAGCTGTCCAATCCCTCTCTAAATTTTTTTTTTCACCTGTCAGCAAGTATTTATTGAGTTTCTACTATTCGTCCAACACAATGCTAGACACAGAGTCAGCAGACCCTTTTACTGAACAGAGGAGTTTCCCCAGGGTTTCCCTGCCCTTGATTCCCTGGGAACTCTGCCTTTTAGCCTTTTAGTAAACACAGGGGACCAATCATGGGATACCCGTGGAGCAACATTTCATATTCCTCAGGGGTATAACCACTTGACAACCAGCTTGGGAGCCAGGAAACAGGCCTGTCCAGCAGCCTGTGTACAGCAGAGAAATTTATTACTATTTCCTACTTCATCCACAGGAAAGAAAAGAGCTATAGCCTGCATTTTGACATTTTTTTTATTAAGATTATGATAGATTACAACCTTGTGAGATTTCAGTTGTACATTATTGTTAGTCATGTTGTGGGTACACCACTTCCCCCTTTGTGCCCTCCCCCCACCCCCTCTTTTCCCTGGTAACCATTGATCAGTTCTCCTTGTCTACATGTTAACTTCCACCTGTGAGTGGAGTCATATAGAGTTCATCTTTCTCTGTCTGGCTTATTTTGCTTAACATAATACCCTCAAGGTCCATCCATGTTGCTGCAAATGGACCAATTTTGTCCTTTTTTATGGCTGAGTAGTATTCCATTGTGTATATATACCATATCTTCTTTATCCACTCATCAGTTTCTGGGCATTTAGGTTGGTTCCACATCTTGGCTATTGTAAATAATGCTGCCATGAACATAGGGGTGCAAGGGACTCTTGGGATTTCTGATTTCAGGTTCTTAGGATAGATACCCAGTAGTGGGATGGCTGGGTCATAAGGTATTTCTATTTTTAACTTTTTGAGAAATCTCCATACTGTTTTCCATAGTGGCTGCACTAGTTTGCATTCCCACCAACAGTGTATGAGGGTTCCTTTTTCTCCACAACCTCTCCAACATTTGTCGCTCTTGGTTTTGGATGTTTTTGCCAATCTAACGGGTGTAAGGTGATATCTTAGTGTAGTTTTGATTTGCATTTCCCCGATGATTAGCAATGATGAACATCTTTTCATGTGTCTATTGGCCATACTTATATCTTCTTTGGAGAAATGTCTGTTCATGTCCTCTGCCCATTTTTTGATCGGGTTGTTTGTTTTTTTGTTGTTAAGCCTTGTGAGTTCTTTGTATATTATGGAGATTAACCCTTTGTCAGATAAGTGACTTGTAAATATTTTTTCCCAATTAGTGGGCTGTTTTTTTGTTTCAATCCTCTTTTCCCTTGCCTTGAAGAAGCTCTTTAGTCTGATGAAGTCCCATTTGTTTATTCTTTCTATTGTTTCCCTCAACTTAGGAGTTATAGTATCTGAAAAGATTCTTTTGAAACTGATGTCAAAGAGTGTACTGCCTATATTCTCTTCTAGAAGATTTATTGTTTCAGGCCTAATCTTTAGGTCTTTGATCCATTTTGAGTTTATTTTGGTGTGTGGTGAAAAAGAATGGTCAATTTTCAATCTTTTGCATGTGGCTGTCCAGTTTTCCCAGCACCATTTGTTGAAGAGACTTTCTTTTCTCCATTGTAGGCCCGCCGCTCCTTTGTCGAAGGTTAGCTGTCCTTAGATGTGTGGTTTTATCTCTGGGCTTTCAATTCTGTTCCATTGATCTGTGGACCTGTTTTTGTACCAGTACCATGTTGTTTTGATCACTGTAGCTTTGTAGTATGTTTTGAAATTGGAGATTGTGATTCCTCCGGCTTTGTTTTTCTTACTCAGGATTGCTTTAGCAATTCGCAGTCTTTTGTTGCCCCATATGAATTTTAGGATTCTTTGTTCAATTTCTGTAAAGAATGTCCTTGGGATTTTGATTGGGATAGCATTGAATCTGTAGATTGCTTTAGGTAGTATGGACATTTTAACTATGTTTATTCTTCCAATCCATGTGCATGGAATGTCTTTCCATCTCTTTAT